CACAAACCGGAGCACATGGCTGCAGCGAAGAGGGTGTTGCGCTACCTGTGCAGTACGTCGGGCATGGGGCTAGTGCTTGGAGGGCGGAGTCCAGTGGTCCTCACTGGGCATGCAGACGCTTCTTGGGCTAATGACCAGGCTACGCAGCGGTCCTAACAGGGCTACACTTTCAGCCTTGGTTCCGGCTCTGTTTCGTGGCGGGCTACCCGCTCGTCTTCTGTTCTCGGCTCTAGTTGTGAGGCTGAGATCTACGCAGGAGCCATGGCTGCACAGGAGCTTCGCTAGCTCACCTACCTGCTGACCGACGTCGGAGAGCCGCCTCGTTCTCCTCCAGTCCTGTACGTAGACAGAGAGTCTGCGAGCCCTGTGTCGAGAGCAGAGACTGGAGCACAGAACAAAGCACATTGCTCTCCGCTACTTCCTTGCTCGTGAGCTACAGCAGCGTGGTCAGCTGCGACTTGCTTACGTGGCCTCTGAGGCCAACACTGCTGATATTCTCACCAAGGCACTTGCGCCTTGTGATCATCAGCGCTTCTGTACTCAGCTGGGTCTTGTGCATGCCTTGCCTCACTTGCTTACCTCTTGACCTTGCTTGTACTGTTACATATATATATATATGCACCTGCTCTTGCTTGTCTAGCATTATATATATATGTACTCCTGCATGTGAACTGGCCTTGTGGCCTTGAACTTGTGCTCGGAATGTGTGGTGACTTTGTGATCCACCCTGAGCTTGCTTTTCTTTATTTTGCTTGACTGGTCTTGTGACCTCTTGTTCTCCCCCACTTTGCCTATGGGGGTGTGTCAGAACATTTTAGCTTATGTAGTTGTGTAGGCTGTAGTGGGGTAGCCCATAAGGGGTACAACCCAATTAGGGTTAGTACTTGTACCCAACTGTTTCATAGTTCATTCATTCTCGTTTCAGTTTTCTCACGTGGGTGGTGCCGATCGCTTCGTGTCGAATGATCTGTTCGGGACGTGGCATCGTGTCTCGGATTGATCTCGCGTCAGCGCATCGAATCTCTCTGCTGCACACACCATGTCTCGGTAGTTGTTGTAGTTCGCGGCAATCATCTGTCGGCGCACTTCCATCTTTAGCCCCTCAGTATACGCTTGGATTTTTTCCCCTTCGGTCAGGTCGGTAATTCGGTTGAAGAGGCTCTCCATCTGCTGTGTGTACTATGTTACACTGCCGAACTGTTTATGCCGATGAATCTGCTGCCGCGCCATGTAGCTGGAGTTGATTGGTTCGAAACGTTGAATTAAAGCTTCCCGAAACTGCGTCCATGACCCCTCGCCTCGGATCTTATTGATGTTGTAAATCCACTCGAGCGCTGGGCCTCGTAACAGTGTCGCTGCGAGCCGAATCCGCATTGGATTGTGTGTCGGGGTCGTACAGCCAACGGCCTCGAAGTAAATTTCGAGAGTCGCAATGAATCGACGAACGTCAGTGTCTCTCGCGTTCGGATTGAACGTCTCCAGTAGCCTCGGATGTGCCGCCTCAAGATTCACTGTAGCTGCTGCCGCTGCTGTTGGGTTAAGAGTCGGTGTAGCCGCTGCTGCAGCTGACGTCGCTGCTGCATTCGCCGCTGCGTTCGCTTCTGCGGTGGCGGCTAGCGACTGGTTCGCGAGAAGCTCCTCTATTCGCTGGAGTGCCGCTCGCGTCTAGTCCTGGCCGGTGTGTAACTCTGTAATTTTTCGTACGGAATTATCACCGTTTTCCTCCATTTGACGATTTACATGAAGATTTGCGACGGAAAGAATTGAATTCTAGGCGCTGGTCATCTTACTGTGAGTCGAATCGACTGTAGAATTGACGAGCGCTGATTCTGTAGGTCGCGTAATTCTCCCTTAGTTGAAATTCGCGTCCGATCTCGGCCGTTGAGAAGAAGGTTGATCCGACGCTCTAAATTCCAACCTTTTTGGTCGAAATTCTTAGGGCCGTTGAGATTCGAATCGATCCGACGGTCGAAATTCCAACTTTTTCGCCACTGGACCTGAGGAGTGTTCGAAAACCGGTTCGAGGGGGACGTTAGAAAATAGCGCGGAACTAGTTTACGTACCCGAAATCGGCGCTTTCCGTCGTCGCCCCCGCGGTTTTAAAAGCTAGGTTTTAGCGGTCGAAAAACTTCGCTTGCAAACAGGCTCTGATTACCAAGTGTGAGGATCTAGGATCGAGCTCAGAAAAGAGAATGTGAATTGAATTGAATGATCACCTGGGTAGAGCACGAGGCTATATATAGGCTCGACACAAGGCCCCGTAACCAGGTGTTACGCGAAAGTTCCGCGGGTCGCGAAGCATCCCGAATAGATCCTTCCCGAATTCGGTAGAACGCAATTCGGTGGCAACCGAAAAAGCCGGAATTCGGTGCACGCAACCTAGCTCGGTGCTATAACTATGATAAAATATAGGAAAGCACCTAGCCTGGGAAATCAAGCAATTCATGCATGCATATAATTATCCTATGCTAGAAATAGCATGATAAAGTAAAGGCAAGCAAGCATAGCTGGCATAAGCCGTCGTACTCTCATACGCGCGGACGTCGCTGGAGCTGCATCTGGCCACCGCCAGAAGCAGCAGTAGTAGTAGTAGTAGCAGCAGCAGCGCGGGCAGGGCAGGCGCGGCAGGCAGGCAGGCAGGCAGGAAGGCAGGCAGGCAGGTTGCGCGACAGTGCGCGAACAAGGCAGGTGCTCACCAGTGGCGGCCGGGTAGGCGCACAGCGGCGGCGACGGCGGGGCCGCGACAGCTGCGGCAGAGCTGGGCCGCGTCGGCGGTAGGGCAGGTCCGCGACAGCTGCTGCAGGGCAGGGTCGTGACAGCTGCAGGAGGCTCCGCGGCAGGTGCTGCAGGGCAGGGCTGTGACGGCGGCAAAAGGCTCCGCGGCAGCTGCTGCAGGGTGGGGCCGCGACCGAGGCAGGAGGCTCCGCGGCAGCTGCTGCAAGGCGGGGCCGCGACCGAGGCAGGAGGCTCCACGGCAGCTGCTGCAGGGCAGGGCCGTGATGGCGGCAGAAGGCTCCGCGACAGCTGCTGCAGAAGCGACGGCGGTAGTCAGGAAGGGGCGGCGTCCAGGGGGGGGGGGGGGGCGTCGCGACAGGCAGGGGCAGCCGCGGCGCGCGGGGCTGCAGCGCGCTACGCGAGCTACGGGCGCGGCGCGCGGAGCCGCAGCGGGCTGCGCGAGGACGGCAGCCGCGGCGCGCAGGGGTGCAGCGCGACGCGCGGGCAGCGGACGCGACGCGCGGGGCTGTAGCGGGACGCGCGGGCAGCAGAGCGACGCGCGGGGCTGCAGCGCGACGCGCGGGCAGCGGGCGCGACGCACGGGGCTGCAGCGCGACGCGCGGGGCTGCAGCGTGACGCGCGGGCAGCGGGCGCGACGCGCGGGGCGGTGACCTGGCCTGACGGGCCTGCAGGGGCGGCTCGCGGGCCTGAGGGGCCTGCAGGGGCGGCTAGCGGGCATGACGGGCCTGCGGGGGCGGATAGCGGGCCTGACGGGCCTGCAGGGGCGGCTAGCGGGCCTGACGGGCCTGCAGGGGTGGCTAGCGGGCCTGACGGGCCTGCAGGGGCGGCGCTCTGGCCTGACGGGCTTGCAGGGGCGGCTCGCGGGCCTGACGGGCCTGCAGGGGCGGCTAGCGGGCCTGACGGGCCTACAGGGGCGACTAGCGGGCCTGACGGGCCTGCAGAGGCGGCGCACGGGCCTTACGGGTCTGCAGGGGCGGCGCGCGGGCCTTACGGGCCTGCAGGGGTGGCGCGCTAGCCTAGGGCAGCAGTATGTCAGAATCCCAACCACTAGACCATTGGGATAAAATGGCTTGTTAAGTAAAGGTGTGCGCCCATAACCCCCCCAGGCCAACAAGCCTGTAACCCTTCCCTAGGATCAATCGGGGATCACCAGTGGACCTCAGACACCCCCCGCACGGGGATGCCCGAAGTGCACACACTGGGATTCGAACCCGAGACCCCCGCTCTAATACCATGTCAGAATCCCAACCACTAGACCATTGGGATAAAAGGGCTTGTTAAGTACCGGGTCAGTGCGCCCATAACCCCCCAGGCCAACAAGCCTGTAACCCTTCCCTAGGATCAATCGGGGATCACCAGTGGACCTCAGACACAGTAGGCAGCGCGAGGGCTGCAGGACGGCGCGCGCAGCGCAGCACGTCACACGGCAAGGCAGGCAGGCAGGCAACACGTAGGGTAGCGTGGTAACCGCAACGGTAGGTGGGCCCGAAAAAAAAAAAAAAAAAAACGGTCCTACGGACCTAGTGCTCTGAAACCATGTTAGAATCTAGCAGCAGGAATGAATGAACTATGAAAGGATTGGGTACAAATATGAAACCCTAATGTGGGCTGTACCCCATATTGGCTACCCCACTACAGCCTAAACACATACAGCATATATAAGTTGACTTCGACCCCCGCACGATTCTGATTTTTGACGCTCGAAATTTCGATTCGGTTGAAGTTGCGAGGAGGAGATGTACAGTTTAGTGCTTGTAAAACATATATGTCTATTTGTCATTTTATAAGCGCATGCGCTTATAAATTTTACTCAATTATAAGCGCACCCCCCTAAAAAACACGTTTTATTATAAGCGTAGGTGCGCTTATATCCGGGGTAATACGATACATGGCTAGCTAGGACCTTTCGTATTCCACTGTATTCCTATATAAACTCCTGTACCGCATTGTAATAGTCACTTCTGTCGAGATTCAATTCTCCTACTGTCAAAGTCCGTACCCGACATTACCTACGGTAGCAATCTTCCGCTGCTACACTCCTTGCGATGAACCTGAGACGATCCTGTTAGACGGTTCAGATTGTATCAAGGGTAAAAAAACGAGGAAGCGTAGTCGGGTTGCCAGCGTAATACGAGAGGCCATGTTCTTATGAAAAAAAGTCTACATGTGCTTATTATAGGTCACGTTTTTTCAATGGTTGTGCTTCTAATTGAGGACCGGATATAACTTCAAATATCATAGAACCAGGAAGAATGTATCACGATTCACGAGGTTTCGTAACCATCAAAAGCAACGTAGGAAGCGCCCTTGCCAGCTGCCTCCAGGAGATCCATGCGTCCTCCAGCCATTCTCTCTGCCTCTATGCCCCTCTCCCCTGTGCACAACAGTGCAAAGAGTCCGGGCAGAGTGGAGAACTATTGTGAAGGGGTTGTTTGCTTGAACACAAAAGAATTGAAAAAGTAACGTTGGAAAAGGGCAAGGCATGGGCTTTCCATTGATATGAAATATAGAGTGTGAAGGGAAAAAAAAGTGGCTAGTGAAACAGAAGGGGGGCAACATGAAGAGCCAGGGGAGAAGTATCAAGAGAGAAGGGACGGAGGTTGGCCATACCTGTGCGGACTCGAATGACCTCAGCCACTGGGGACACTGAGAGGGGGAGATGCACAGGAGATGAATGGGTAAGGAATATTATCTAAGGTCACACTAACATGCCTACGTTCTGCTAAGCAATGTGAATCAACGTATATGTATATTACCAAAAAAAAAAAAAAACCATAACAGACACAAACAGACAAGCCCGTAAACATTAGTACAACAGCACAAGTGTTTGCTAATGCTATCACGGTGAGTGCACGTGAACGTAAACGACTGGTCCAATCAGGGTGAAACTTGAAGGTCCTATGTGGTGGGGAGTAATGTGATGGTGCACAAAAGAAGTGGAGAGAAACGGTGCAGAGCAATGGCATCTGCAAGGGTAGCTTGGTGATGCTGGTAGGGCACACACAAGGGAAGTCCGAAGATGCAGCGGGCCTGCAGAGGTTCGCTCACCAAAGATCTTGCCGTCGCCGATCTCCCCCGTGCGCGCCTCGTCGATGATGATGGCGATCACCGCCTCCACCTGCTCGCCCCCACGGCAGATGGGCGGCATGGATGCAGGAAACGAGAGGGAAGATTGTGAGGGACAGGCGCACTAATCATCCCGGTCGTACACCACACCCACCTGGTCGCACACCACACCCACCTGGTCGCACACCACACCCACCTGGTCGCACACCACACCCACCTGGTCGCACACCACACCCACCTGGTCGCACACCACACCCACCTGGTCGCACACCACACCCACCTGGTCGCACACCACACCCACCTGGTCGCACACCACACCCACCTGGTCGCACACCACACCCACCTGGTCGCACACCACACGCACCTGGTCGCACACACCACCCACCTGGTCGCACACACCACCCACCTGGTCGCACACACCACCCACCTGGTCGCACACACCACCCACCTGGTTGCACACACCACCCACCTGGTCGCACACACCACCCACCTGGTCGCACACACCACCCACCTGGTCGTACACGACGACCACCTCCAGCTTCGACTTGAGCACCAACGCATCGTCTGCAAACTCAGAGCCTGCCGTGTTGAGGCACGCATGGGGAGGGCGGGGAGAAAGGGGAGGGGGGTGGGGTGGGTGGAGGCGTAGGAAAGGAAGAGGGGGGCGTTGAGTGAGTGAAGTGAGAGTGAGAGTGGAGGGGCGGCGGGAGCATATGGAAAAGCGCCTTTGTGGAAAGCATGCGGAGCAAGGCCAGGCCAGGACGCCCTGACGGGCAGAGGAGGTGCTCCAGGCGGGGCGGACAGAGGAGGTGCTCCAGGCGGGGCAGTCTTGCCAACCCAAGGGTGTGCTCTCCCCTCCTTATTCACCCTCTCCCCGACCCTCTCACCCTTTCGTCCCCTCGCTCCCCAACCTCCCAACCCCCATCCCTCTCGCCCCTTGGAACCCTGACGACCTGCCAGCCGGACCTGCTGGTCCATTCCACGCAAAGCCATCTGATACCTCTCCCCTGCTCTCCCCCATCGCATCCACTCCCTCCTGTGGCGGAGCCATCTGACCTGCGTGCCTCTCTCTGCTCGTGCCCTGCGTGCCGAAGCCCCTCACATCCGAGACCGTCAGGCCCCTGATGCCCGCTGTGAACAGAGCCTGCACACAAGAACAGGGGACGGGGAGGTGCGCAGGTGATGGCTTGGAGTGGATCGAATGAGTGATGCCCACGGCCCTCACGACTGGTGCAGTCAATGCGCAATGCCTGTGGGGGGAGGGCCACGAGGGAGGAACACATACGAGAAAAAAACTGCAGACGAAAAAAGGCTAGATTTATCGCGGGGCTTATTGCAGCAGCGAGTACAACGAGGGTGCGTTCGAAGGTTGAAGAGAGGAACGCGATCGTCAGGAGCGTGTGATTGGGCGCTAGTTGTGAGTCGACTCAGTTGAGAACGCTATTGGTGGGTGGAAGAGACGACAAGGAGCAGCAATGCGCGGTGAGCTGTTAGGCACATGGCTCACCATCGCAGACGTGCGTACCTCGCAGACGTGCGTACCTCGCAGACGTGCGTACCTCGCAGACGTGCGAGAGGCGCCAGGGGCGGATGACGGCCTCCACCTTGTAGAACTGCGCCGCCGGCTTGAACTCTGCGCGCCACGCCGTGGGGAGGGGCGTGGGTGAGGGGGGAGAGGGGCGGGGGCAGGGACAGAGGGGCAGCCACTCGGTGGGGAGGGGGTGAGGACAGGGACAGGCACTTGCGAGGGAACGACCCACATGCAACCCACGTGCAACCCACGTGCGACTCAAGTCGTGGGGGGTGGGGCCTGACCGCCGTTAGGGGGGAGACGGGTCAAAGTCGTGGAGCGCGAGGAGTGAGGGGAGAGGAGGGAGGGAAGCGGCAATGTGACACGCTAGAGAGCAACAGGACTGCCGCGATAGCACTGGCCACAAGAATGCCGTGCCCGCTCGGCCGCACCCGCCAGGCGAGCCGAGCCTGGTGGCAGTGGAAGCGCAAGATGGCGCGGCGCGCTAGTTGCCACGCTCTTCTAAACGCCGCTTGCTCGCCGGCGTGCCGAGCTGCGCGTTCGAACGGCACCACTTGATTGCCCTGCAACCCACGTGCGACTCGCACACGTAGACGCCTAGAGGTCTCTACTGACCGTTGCAACTGCCGCGCTAACCGCATTGTGTACAGGGTGCATTGCCCACAACATGCAGAATTTGCGGAATCGACCAAGCCGCAGGTTTCTCCGTCGCATCACAGCAATGCGCCGTCCGCCGTACCTTGCGAGATGTCCGCCGCGCCGTTGGGCGCACCGCCGCCACTCGCCCGCACACGAGCCCCTCGCATCGGCGCAGCTCTCCGGGCGACATTAGCGGAAGCGACGACGAGCCTCCGAGACTCAGGCACGAATGAGGAGCGCGATCCCCACCCCAGCAGTGCTCCCTGTGGCGCGCGGACCGACAGGCTCGCGCCGCTGCTTGTCCGGCCGGTAATGATATCCGTCGCCGCTACCCATGCCGCTGCTGCTGACGTGGTGGTAACGGCTGACGTCATTGTGAGGGCGCCCGGTATTGGCTGACGGAGAAATGGTAGTAGGAGGGGGGTCGTGGGTGTGCGACCTCGGGAGGGACGGGCGCCGCGAATGAAGGGTGTCTTGGCACTGTGTGGTGTGAGTGCTGTTTGGCGATTTTGTGTAGCGAAGTGAGATAGATACACATACACAGCGTTTTGGTGGCGGAGACGGACATCATTGGTTCATTACAGACCAATCCAGCCATGGCATGTCACTGGCATCGTAGTGGATGCTGGCGTGGCAGTGGCTAAGTGGCCCAACAGGTACAATTGATGCCTGTTTGAGCCCCTCCCGGTTGCCTTGTGAAGGGGGCGTATAAGCTATAACGAGAATTTCGCATAAGTTTCGTCAATTCGCAGCTAGCTAAAAAGGACTCGCAGGTGCTTATAAAAAAGATCTGTTACCTTATTTGACTTCAGTCTCTTCTGCTTGACCTCGGTCTGTTCGTTACTATTGGTTGACAACCACGCGACGCGCTTATAACGTGGGAGCAACAGGCTAGGGAAACAACCTCGGGTGCAGCGTTTCCATCCGGCGCAAGGCAAATCCGCTGTCAGAATGTTCTCATCTAGCCTGTAGTGGGGTGCTCTATAGCGAGTACAACCCTGTTAGGGTTTGCTATATGTATCCCAACTGCTGCTAGTCAAACCTTCCTCTTTCTTCTGACTTTCACATGCTATCAGAGCAGGTTGATCCCCTTGGATCGATCCAGTGGGTGGGGTTACCACCTCCTTGCTTCCGCTGCAATCTCAACTACTCTCTGAGCTGCACGCCCCGTGGCGTGCGGCACTTTTTCTTCCCGCCGAGCGCCCCGAGGCGCGCGGCGGTTTTCTGCCCGCCGTGTGCCCCGAGGCGCGCGGCGGTTCTCTGCCCGCTGTGCGCCCCGAGGCGCGCGGCGGGCTTCTGCCCCGTCGTTCGCCGCGTCGCCCCCTGGAGGCGCCGCGACGGGCGACGGGGACCCGCGCGTCGTCCCCCGTCGCCCGTCGCGGCCTGCGCGCGGCCCGTACAGGCAGCGCGCGGCCCGTACGGGCTGCGCCAGGCCCGTACGGGCTGCGCCAGGCCCGTACGGGCTGCGCCAGACCCGCGCGCTGCCCGTACGGGCTGGGCCAGGCCCACGCGCGACCCGTACGGACGGCGCTTGGCCCGCGCGCGGCCCGTACGGACGGCGCCAGGCCGGCGCGCGGCTCGGGCCGCCTGCGCGCGACTCGGGCGCCTTTCCGAGGCCCGTGGTGGGCCCCTTCCTCGTTGCCCCTGCCCTCCCGGTGTTCCCCCTACGCTTCTACTGGCGCCACACCCCTCCTACTCCCCATTCTCCTGAATTAGGGTTTGGGGGTGAGGGGTATGGGGGTGACTTTCCTGTGTGCTATTCCCTGCTCCTCCTCCTCCTCCGTCTCCCGGTGCTGCAGCTGCCGCTGAGGGGGGGTGGACGTGTTGGAGCCGGTGGAGTGGTACTCAAGGGGGGGGTGAAGGGGGAGTGGAGCTAGCGGTGTAGCAGCGGGTGTGTGCCAGGGGGAGTGGGATAGTTTGGGGAAGCTGCATGGAGGTTGCCATCGTGTCGCCAGCAGCACCTGTATTCCGGGGACTTCGCCCGGTAGCCCAGTCGTAGCCAGCTGTGCCAGCCGCCCGTGGGTCTGTTGCTCGTCTGCTGCTACTTTAGCCGCGGGGCCAGTTACTCCAGTATTCCGGGGACTTCGCCCGGTAGCCGCTGTGCCAGTCTGCCTCCTATTGCCCGTGTGTCTGCAACTTCAGCCGTCCCCTCCTATCTCCTCTCCTCTCACTCTCTCTCCTCCTCCTCACTTGGCCGTTGTGACTACCACTAGCTTAGCTCATAATTGTGAACTTTCATCTATTGCTTCTTAAACTTGTGCTCAGAATGTGTGGTGACATTGTGATCCACCCTGAGCTTGTTCTATGCCTGCTTGCTCTGCTGATTACACCCCACTTTGGCTATGGGGGTGTGTCAGAATGTTATCTTATGCTCTAGCCTGTAGTGGGATGCTCTATAGCGAGTACAACCCTATTAGGGTTTGCTATATGTATCCCAACTGCTGCTAGTCAAACCCCTTCTCTCTTCTAACTTTCACATCCGCGTGCACTGGTTGGGCATCAATTGTACCGGGGAAGCACACAAATCTGGAAAGGCAAAACCCATCTGAGGGCGGGTCAAACTTTGCACATGTACGGTTAATTTTCAGCTCAGTTACCAGATTTTAGCATGTAACAGAACTTGTAACGTACAAAATTCGCTTGACACGAAACAGTACATTAAAGAGCTCATTTCGGAAACGTGCCTAGGGACGTGCGGAACACATTCGAAGGTTCGTCTCCCAAATCGCTTCCCGTCAAAGTCGTCGAACAGTAACGCCCTTTTTTTCGCCAAAATCCTTTCGCCATTGTATTATTCCCTTCGCCCTTCATGCGGAAACCCTCTCAACATTTGGTAACTCTCCTTCCCAGGGACTCTCCTTCACAACATTACTATATCTCGTCAAAAGTCCGACTGTACACTCCGAACTGGACAGGAAATGGTAGGACTACGCCCTGGGGTACAGTCAAATTTGACAAGTGTGTTGACGTAAAAATAACGAAAAAAACGGGAATGTGCAAAGTTGGACCCGCCCTAAGAACAAATTAGTTTTGTTTGCGATTTCCATGAAAGACATGGTTGTCAGAACAATATAGCTTATGCTTTTGTGTAGGCTGTAGTGGGGTATCCCATAAGGGGTATAACCCAATTAGGGTTAGTACTTGTACCCACTTCATTCATAGTTCATTCATTTCTCGTTCTCATTTTCTCATGGTATCGAGCAGGTTCCCTCGTGGGAACTGTTCCTAGGGCCCACCGATTCTTTTTTTTCCTGCCCGGGGCGCGTCCTGCCCCTGCCCGAAGCGCGCCTAGGGTCGCGCCCTTCTTAGCGGCCCCGTCGCGTCACCCTTAGCGGCTCGTCGCGTCGCCCTTAGCGGCCCGTCGCGCCGCCCTTACGGTCGCGTCGCGCCGCCCTAACGGCCGCGTCGCGACGCCCTAGCGGCCTCTCGCGGCCCCGATCAGCCGCCCTTGCCGCCCCGATCCGCCGCCCTTTCACCAGCGGCCCCGTCACCGCCCTTGCAGCGGCCCGTCGCCGCCTTTGCAACGGCCCATCGCCGCCCTTCTCACGGCCCCGCCGTCCCTTTAAACGGCCCCGCCGCCCTCACCTGCGGCCCGCCGCCCTTCCTGCGGCCCGTCGCCCATACTTGCGGCCCCGCCGCCCTTACCTGCGGCCCCGCCGCCCTCAACTGCGGCCCCGCCGCCCTTACCTGCGGCCCCGCCGCCCTCAACTGCGGCCCCGCCGCCCTCAACTGCGGCCCCGTCGCCCTTCCCTGCGGCCCCGCCGCTCTCACCTGCGGCCCGGCGCTCTCAGTTTCGGCCCCGCCGCTCTCACCTGCGGCCCCGCCGCTCTCACCGGCGGCCCCGCCGCTCTCACCTGCGGCCCCGCCGCTTTCACTTCCGGCCCCGCCGTCCTGACCTGCGGCCCCGTCCCCTGCTGCAGCGCCGCCCGCCACCCGAGCTGCCCGAGCCGCCTCACCCAGCCGAGCAGCTGACCGCCGTGCCGCCCTGCAGTAGCACCGCCGAGCCGTCCGGGAAACCGAGCAGCCGGACAAGTGAGCCGCCGAGCCGCCCAGCAGCCGAGCAGCCGAGCCGCCCAGCAGCCGAGCCGCCGTACAGCCGAGCCGCTGGGCCGCCGAGCCGCACTACAGCCGAGCCGCCCAGCCGCCAAGTAGCCGAGCCGCCGAGCCGCCCTATTGCCGAGCTGCCCGAGCTGCCCCGTCCGGTAAGCACAACGCCTCTTTCACTGCACTGCCCTCACCCTACTGTTTGCACTACTAGTCTACTGTGGTCGTGGCAACCCCTAGTGTCCTCGCTTTTGACGCTGAGGGTGGAGCCATTGACTTTGACGTCTGGGTAGATGACCTGCAGCTGTTCTTACAGTGCGATAGGGCAGACGGTCTCTCTCTCTTTGACCTCACCTCTGGCGCCTCTCCTGCCCCTGCTGCTGATGCTGACGTCACTGTTCGCTCCAAGTGGGCCACGCGCGACGCTGCTGCACGTCTTGCTGTGCATCGCCACCTCCCTACCTCCGAGCGTGCGCACTTTAGTCAGTACAAGAGTGCTCAGACCTTGTACGACACTGTAGTTGCACGCTACTCCTCCCCTGCCACTGCTGCACTGAGCCGTCTCATGCTACCGTACCTCTTCCCTGACCTTGCTGCCTTTCCCACAGTCGCTGACCTCATTACGCACCTCCGCATTAGTGACACTCGCTACCGCGCTGCACTTCCTGCTGACTTCTGCGCCAAGAACCCCCCCCCCCATGTACATCACCCTCTAGTACATCGTCACCCGACTCCCTGACTCCCTTCGCGTAGTCAGGGACCACTTCCTCGCAGTGTGCCCCACCACTCTCACCGTTGACCTCCTCGAGAAGGCCCTCCTAGCGGCGGAGAAGAGCATAGTCGCTGTAGGAGCCTCTCGTGGTGACCCTCGCACCCCTGTCTTTGAGGGGTGTTCTCCCTCCCCCCTCTTGCCCTCTGTTGCTTCTGCTGCTGCGGCCGACCTCGTTGGTTTTGAGTCGGTCGGTGCTGCGTCTTCCCCTTCAGGGAAGCGCCGCACAGGTAAGGGCAAGGGGGGCAAGGGCGCTGGAGGAGCTGGCGGGGGCGGTGGAGATGGCGGTGGAGGTAGCGGAGGGAGTGGGGGTGGTGGTGGGAGTGGTGGAGGGGGTGGGGGTACCGGTGGCAGCGGTGGAGGCGGAGGCGGCGGCGGTGGCGGAGGGAGCGGAGGCGGCGGTGGTAGCGGAGGCGGCGGTGGTGGCGGAGGCGGCGGTGGTGGCGGAGGCGGCGGAGGCGGCGGAGGTGGCGGTGGAGCTGGTCGCGGGTCTACGCAGAGGAGTGGCTCCGGTGGTGGTCCGCGCCAGCAACAGCAGCGCCGTCGTGAAACCCTGTTCCC